GATGACAAACTATAGAAAAGAGAAACTATGACGACACAAGCAAACACATCACAGAGTTAACAGAGAGAGAGAGAGAGAGAGAGAGAGAGAGAGAGAGAGAGAGAGAGCAGGGGCCTGACGTGTGTGGGGTTTAGTGGCATCTAGCGGCGAGTTCGAATACAGCAGCCAACATTACACCCCTCACCTCACCTGCCCCCCCTCAGCTGAGTCAGAGAAAATAATGAAAAGTTCAAACTGTGAAAGATCATTAGAGTGATCTCTGCACATTTTTATTTTTAATTAATCAAGTCACTGAAGTTAATGAAAAACAAATCCGACCAAGAGCTCTGGTTTTATTAGAAAACCTTATTTCATGTTTTAAATCTCTCTATAAATAGTGTTCATTCAACATTATAGACACGAGATACCAGTGTTGTTCATTTTCTACATTAAAAAAATATCTTTGTCGTTAAATGCATCATTGCTGTAACACAATTAAAACATAACCACTTGTTTTATTTTTCCAAATTAAATAAAAATATCATCCATCTGCTGAACTTCTTAATCAAGTCTTTTCTATTTGCTGCTGCATTTTATCAAGATAAATATTTTTCTTCATTGTCATTTTTCATTTTGATATTTTATCTTTGTAGTATTGTCTATAACCTGACATGACGTCACATAAACATATTGTTGGTGATGAATCAAAGCTACGTGGACATTTGGATTTTGGATTTTTCGGTTTGTAGAAGGAGGAGATTTTATTCACAAAGATTTTTTTCCTAAAATGAAATAAATTCGTTTTCAAAGGAGCATTTTCTTCAAGGAAACTCCTCCAGGTGGATCATCATTCTACTGATGAAATAAAAAGCTGCTGATCTGAAGGAATCTGATGCAAACACAGACATTTTGTTCGATGTGCAACTTTATGTGAATTTTATTTGTCCCTCGGTCAATTTTGATACTTTCACTTTAAATTTTATCACCAACTAACATGACGTGAATGTCTCCAGCTTCCTGAACGTCTCCTGTCAGAGGTGGCCAAAGTTCACTCCCCCTGTGTGTGTGTGTGATTCCACAACCCCCCTCTCTCTCTCTCTCTCTCTCTCTCTCAGTCATGGCTCAGTTTTTGCTCTGTGGACGCTTCTGGAATCTCAGACCTGAAGTGAACAGAGTCCTGACAGCAGCTCAAACTTACTGGTAAATATTCTGTTGGTTTGTTTCTCTAACTCAAAATGTGCAGAGTTTTCTGTTCTGCACGATTCGTTCAGGGAGTGAACTTTAACCTGCTGTGAGAGAGAGAGAGCGAGAGAGAGAGATAGGTGCACACAGGGAGAGAGAGAGAGAGAGAGAGAGAGATAGGTGCACACAGGGAGAGAGAGAGAGAGAGAGAGAGAGATAGGTGCACACAGGGCGAGAGAGAGAGAGAGAGAAATAGGTGCACACAGGGAGAGAGAGAGAGAGAGAGAGAGAGAGAGAGAGAGATAGGTGCACACAGGGGGAGAGAGAGAGAGAAACAGAGAAATACACACATACAGGGAGAGAGAGAGGAACACACACACACACACACACACACACCTCTCTCTCTCATGGCTCAGTGTTTTCTCTGTGGACGCTTCTTGAATCTCAGACCTGACATGACGGAGTCCTGACAGCAGCTCAGACTCACTGAGAAACATCCTGTTGGTTTGTTTTTAAAGTTTTCTGTTTTGCTGGACTCTTTCAGAGTTTTCAGAACTTTAACCTCTGAAATTCCTGCTCTGCATTCCATCGTTCCATCAGCTGCTGTGAAACATTTGAATGTTGAATTGACAGTGGTGTCCAATATAAAGATCTGATGTTATTGTCAACATCATTATCAGTATTTTAGCTGCTGTTATCAGTCTTTACATTTAAATATTACATGTGTATTAGACTTGCCATTATTATTATTATCATAAATAATAATAAATCAAATAAATCTACTGGTCATTACAAATGAAGATTTTCAATTACAACATTAAGTCTTCACCGAAAACCTTCAAATAAACCACATCTACGATTTTAAGGTTTAACGTTCATCAAAGAAAGAACTGATAATCAATCATTTTGTTGATTTTTCCTTTTAAGACATTATTTTATATTTTATATTAATCCTGTTTTCCTGCAGCTCGTCTGCAGTGGCCTCGGGTCGGCAGCGTGTTAATGGCGTGGATCTGTTCTACGAGCAGACGGGTCGAGGGCAACACGCCGTGCTGCTGCTTCCTGGAGCTCTGGGTAAATACGACAACATCCATGTAACGTGGCAGTTTGTAAAAAAACATACAATCACTTCCTCGTGTCATACAAGTGTAACATGTTCTTTGGTCTTTTCCACCACAGGAAGCACGAGGACAGATTTCGGGCCTCAGCTCAAGTCTCTCAACAAGGAACGCTTCACTGTGATTGGCTGGGATCCTCGTGGTTACGGACGATCGCGTCCCCCGGACAGAGACTTTCCCGCCGACTTCTACGAGCGAGATGCAGCGGATGCAGTGGATCTGATGAAGGTACGTCGTTAGAATAAATCTATAAAACTATAAAATTATATTTTCTACTCACAGATTGATAAAATAAAATATTGAGGGAACCTTTTAAATAAGAATGCTGCAATATGTAGCTGGAATAATGAAATTAAATCATAAGTTAAACAGTTAAACAATTTAAAAAAACCTTTGCAGGTAAACTTTTCAATGACTTTATTTTATTTAGTGAGTGGGACTACAGTCACTTCTCTTCACTCAGAAGTTTTGAGACAGTAGAAATCTAGTTTGGGTCGTAGCCGCCATTTTCCCATTGACATTGTCAACGAACGTCTCCTGTAATTTATGTTTGCAGGAAATACGGTGCCGCTTGTTTGTGATTTAAAGCGTTTGTCATTTCTTTGGCAGACTCTGGGTTTCTGCAAATTCTCTCTGTTGGGGTGGAGCGACGGAGGCATCAGCGCTCTGATCGCAGCAGCCAAGAGCCCTGACCTGATCGACAAGGTGGTGGCATGGGGATCCAACGCCTTCATCACCCAGCATGACCTGGACCTTTACAATGGTACTGACTGTCGATGAGCTTTCCTTTCAGACTGTCCATAATCTAATGCAATAATCTGCGTTATCTTTTCTTTCGTGCGATCGCTCAGCGGTCCGGGACGTCTCCAAGTGGAGTGTGAAGATGAGGCAGCCTTTGGAGGAAGTGTACGGAGCGGAACTCTTTGCTAAAACCTGGGCAGCCTGGGTGGACGGAGTCACGCAGTTCATCAAAAGACCAGAAGGTACTGACGTCAAACCCCACTTGTTGTTTCTATAGAAGTTTATGAGACAATTACTCGACTTCTCCGTTGATTTAAAGCATCAGGTGAAGAGACTTAGATGTTAAATCAGTGTAATAATTTATTCTTTAACCTCATAATGTTGAAGTTATTCCTTCCGACATTTTGGTTGTAAGATTTTAAGTTATCTTTCTCAGGAGACTGAAATTTTGCAATCATTATTCTGGGGGGTTTATACAAACGTGGAGGTGTCTGGACAAAAAGTACTTTGACACTGGGAGTAAAATGTTTTTCACTTTGACGTCCTCTGGTTAGGGAGCGTCTGCATGGAGTGTCTGCCCCTCATCACCTGTCCAACCCTCATTGTCCACGGAGAGAAAGACCCCATGGTTCCCATCTCCCACGCTCAGTATCTCCACAAACACGTCAAAGGATCACGGTGAGAACATCTACACATTTAAAAAAACCTCCAAACTACATCAAAATAAAATAAACACGTATTTAACATGTGAAAAACCTTTTTATTTCTGTCCTAAATCTAGTTTACATCTGTTGCCAGAGGGTAAACACAATCTGCACCTGAGGTTCCCTGAGGAATTCAACAAACTGGTGGAAGACTTTTTGGTAGAATGATTTAAACAGTGAGTTAATCACATCTAACAGGAAACCGGTCACTGCAAATAATCCTATTAAAGATCTAATTTAGTCATTTATTCGATACCCTGCTTATTTCCAAAACACTCTTACTGTGAATCTGAATCTCCATTTTTAAAAATCATTTCTAAAAGTAGTTGTACTATGTTACTCAGTATTTGAACTTGTGGCTGTTACACATACAAGGGAGAAGATTGGTCAATAAATGGATCTTCAGCTCGTCTGACGATTGAGAAAGTGCTCTGTGTTATTTTTCAAGCAAAGATGTCAAATATTCTTTTCTTCCTTTGCTCGATTCTATTGAAAAAAATCTGCTGCTTTTCCTTGATTCATGAGAACTTAACTTTGTTTCACTTTACTTTATTGAATTTATTTTAATTTAACTTAGTTTCACTTTACTTTATTGAATTTATTTTAATTTAACTTTGTTTCACTTTATTTTATTTTATTTTACTTTATGTAATTTACTTATTTTAATTTAACTTAATTTAATTTTCTTTTCTTTTCTTTTCTTTTCTTTTCTTGCAGTAGATCGATTGTGCTGCGCTCTGTGTGTCTCTCTCTCTCTCTGCTCGTTGATCGATTCGTTCGGTCTGATGAACCCGGAAGTGTGTGTGTGTGTTTCTGTGTCGCTCTTCTCGCTGAAACGTTCGATTCCCGGTGAAACACGTGAACATGTCTGAAGCGGTGAACGGGTCGGAGACTGTTTCTCTCCACAATTTCTCGGAGAAGATTCTGGAGCAGCTCGTTCACTTCCACGTGATGAAGCTCAGCGGAGGGTTTTTCCTGTGGGTCGGTTCTGCTCCGGTTCTGTCCAACATGGCGATGTCGATGAGCAGCAAGTTTGTGAGTGAAACTGCAGGAATATCAACAACAAGCGAATGAAACTTGTCACGGATCGAACTTTAACATGAGCTCTTTATATTTAACATCTGTAAAGTGAAACTTGTAAACCTGCTGCTGTGGGATCCAGTTAAAGGTTCAATCAAGACTCAAGACTTTATTCATCATGTGCACGACATTTACATTCAGGAGTCTGCGGCAGTGAAACGCTTGAGTCAATATAAAGATTAAATATATATATAACGATTCAAATAAAATATGTAGAATCAAATTAAAGGTCCAGTGTGTAAGATTTAGGTGAAAGGGAACTATTGGCAGACATTTAATGTAGAATAATCCTCATGATGTTTTCACTACTTGTAGTTTTCTTTACACCAGAAAAGTCTGTTTATATTTAAACACTTTATATTTACATGGAGGGGACCCTCTCTACGGAGGCCGCCATGTTTTTTACATTAGTCCAGACTGAACAAACTAAACACCTTTGAGTTTTTATGAAAACTGAAGCTACCACACTTTCTTTTTCATGTTTGGAAGGAGAGGGTGAGGTGAGGGGTGTTCAGCTGCAACATCACACCTCAACACTAGATAACACAAAGTTATACACACTGCACCTTTAACTATTAAACATACACCTAAATATTCATTTTGAAACGTATAATGTATATTACTACTGAGTAGACAATCATGGCTCCACAGCTCAGTGTGTTCCTCATATGAAACTTGTTTTTTGTATCAGGACAGTCGTGGTTTTATTATCAAGGTCTGTGGTTTGTGGAAGTATAAAAGTAAAAATGTGGAAGAGTATTCAGATATTACAAACACTAGAAAAAGAGTTGTGCAAAACATAACAATAGATATTTAAAATGTGATGTATGTACATTATGACTGAGTGTGTCACAGTCACAGGTGAGGACACTAAACAATCTGCATTATCTATAGAATTATAAGACCTGGTCGAAACCAAAGATGTCTTTTTTACTGAGACTTTGAATTAAGAAAATAAATGTAAGCCAAGAAAGAACTTACTGAATTTCGTGGCGTTACCAGGAATTTCTCTCGTTCTCTAACATTGTGAGATGTTTTTCAAAGTTTTCATCGATTCATTCATGGATGAAAACAAATCTGACATAGTTAGAGAACTGATATTAATCTAACAATATAATAATATTTATTTGTCTGTTTATTTTTGCAGAACCCCCCTAACAACTGCTGTTGTTGTTTTTCTGTCTCTAGGACTCGATGCCTTTATCCACGTTAGTCATGGGGGACCCGTCGAACACTGCTCCAACTTCTCTGTCACTGAGATTAGGTAAAGAATGATGATAAATGCATTGAGTGTATAATTCAGTTCAAATAGGTCGTTAAATTCTCTTTCAAGCTCCCATTCAATATTTTCTGGATTTATAAATAACCGTATTAATGTTTGTGTGTGTTTCACCCAAAATCACCTCATATGTTTGCCAACACTTCTAGAAATCCTGCCGAACCATTTCAAGTCTTTACATTTATGTTTTTACCAGTTTTCATGGCAGCAAACAGCCTCCATTCATTTAAACCAACGTAAAAGTGAATGAACAGAGACGTGAAAGCTTGAGTTTGTTTGTCCCTCACAGGATCAGACATGTTGACAGAATGTGCCTATTTATTTTTCGCATAACTGAGAGATTAAATAGTTGACTGTGATTAAAATCTCAGATTTAGAAATTAAAACAAGCTGCTGCATGTGGTGTGTGAAAAACACCAACATGGTACATCACAACAGGGCAGCTATAATTGTTAAGCACTATTTAAGCAAGAAAATTACATTTTACGTTTAATATTTGTATATTTGACCTAAACAGAGTAAAGTTTAAATTAGCCAATCTATTATTTGATGTTGTCATAACTTCCAAGACAGATGATTTTAGTTTGAAAAATCAAAAAAAGAATGTGTCTCCAAATTAAAGTGAAATAATTTCTGTTTTGCAGCGAAAAGAACCAACAAGCAAGTTTTTGTGAGTTACAGTCTTCCAATGACGGACTCCAACCTCAGTCTGTTGGTGGAGAACAGGATCAAAAAGGAGCTGGAGCTTCACCCTGAACATTTCTGATCCTTCACGGAACTTCTTTTATACGAAACTGACGATATTCAGGATGGAAAGAAAACACGGCAGGTCCGACTCAATCCGAAACTATAATTCTGCTCCAAAACAAGAACCACACACAGTCACACCATGTGTTCTTTTATTGACATAATAAATTAAGTGGTTCATTATCAAAACATTTAGGCCTATGGCTTTTTGTACAAATGCATCATATTAAAAAAATAACACTTAGAAAACATTAGTGGTTGACTTCTGTATTTCTTCCTCCAAATGTTTCGTTGTTGAAAACATATAAACTACCGAACCGAACCGTTGTGGTTGAAAATACGTGCTTTGTCTTAAACATCACTTTAATCACAGAGAATGATCTGTTTGATCTGTGGCTCTGGACAAACTGGTTCTTCTATTCAATGTGCTTATATCCTCTAAAAGTAAGTTTGACGGTCCAGAGCACAAACTGTGAATAAAGATGGACTCCATTTCTCTCACTCTTCAGAAATGAAGCCAAAAATATTCTGCATACAAACGCTGCAATCTGTGCAGTAAAAGTTTTGAGTCAGCCTCGGCTTTCATCATCAAACCAATCTTATCAGATGAATTATATCTTAATTTGTATTTTAATTGTTTAATTTGATCCATGTCCCATCCACTTGCATGGAGGAGGCAGGGATTTAAGAGCTGTACTGCAGCCAGCCACCAGGGGCTGGTCCAGATGCTTTGGCTTCACTTTTAAGAAGGTGTCATGGCGTCCATCTTTTGAAACAGTCTATGATCCATACATAATGAATGAATGGCACATGTATACATACCTTACATCTTTATGCAGTACTAAAGGATACTTACATAGTAAAGTGTATAAATGTACACTAATCACAACTAGGCCAGTTTTACGGCTGCTCTACTCTAATCTTCACAAACGTTTATTTCAAAAAACTGTAAAATATTGTGCTTTCTGGCTAAAGTTACATGTCCCAGGAGCAGGTTTACGACATTACCACAGTACAGGGGACACGGAGTGGGAGGCGGAGTGGAAATTAAGGAGGTATTTCAAACAACAAAACTTTGCCCTTGGCAGCGTGACAAAATAAATACTGGTTTTCATAAATTACATTCTCTGTTTTTGTTAAAATAACAGAGCCATCGCGATAAAGCCATTTAAATGCTGAGACGCATCATAAGACATACCACAGTACACCGACCGGTCCGTTCAACTCTCAGATTTGTTAGCACGGTCTCCATAAGCTACAAACACAGCGTCTGCCAAGGTCTCCGGCTGTTCGTCGCATCAGGACAACCATCATACACCCACAACAACAGCAGTAATGTTCGTTTAAAAAATCAGCGCCAACGCTGACCGTCACCGTCTGAAGATAAAGTGCCGCATCGGACTTCTCGTAGAGGGACCACAAATAGAGAACAGGGACCGTGTAAAACCATTTGTGCCCTATCATGCAAAAAAGAGTGGTAGTGGTTGAGCCAATCCCTGGATCTCCAAAATTGGCCGAAAATCACAAACACCTGATTGTGTCTCTGACGTTTAGTGCAAATTAACTTATAAAGAATTACAAGATGTAGTGAAATCCTCTTTCAACGAGTCTCAGCCACAAACAGAAAACTCACAGAGCGCACATTATTCAGAGCTCGTCCGCTTCACTCGCCCGTTCATTGTTTTCGGAAGAGCAGACGCCAGAGCAAGAAAATCACCACTCGAGACCTTCGTACTATTTAACACACTGACTCCAGGTAAACGTGGTCCAGGACAATATTTTTTTGGCAACTCCTGAATGAATCATAATCACTACAAACTACACAAAATCACTATCGTCACAGTCTCAAACATCACAAGAGTTCATGGGAACATTTCTTTCAAAAGTCTATTGGGGGTTTTTTCAAGGGATTTTTCAGTCAGGTTAATGCTTGAGCGATTAATAGCACAGTAGTGGAGTATTGCTATGACGCTCACACCCCATTGGCTATGGCACGATTTCCAATCACCTCCCCACCAGTCGCCAGGGCATACGAGGCCGGTACCGCTGCCAGAGCGGTGGCTACTGCCACTGTAGCGCCCCCAGTGGCCGAGAGGTGTAAGGGTGTGTCATGGACACGGGAGTAGTCCCTGTCGCTCTTCGCGAGAAGGAGGTGCTGCTCCCCGGGATGGAGCAGGGTCTGACGGGTGAAGGTCTCTCCGTCGGCCAGGCTCTCTGGCAGGGGCTGGCCCCTCGGCTCCGGCAGCAGCAGCAGGCAGATGATGCACAGCAGCGTGCAGCAGGCGAAGATCACGTGATGCAGGAAGTAGCCCTTCTGGTTGTGCAGCTCCATGATGGGAGCGGTGAGCATGCCAAAGCCAGCGCTGGCCAGGACCAGGCCGAGCCCTCCACCCCTGCACAGGGAGAGAAGCCGCAGCAGAGTCATGACAGAGGCAGTGACACAAAAAAAACTAACAACAGGAGTTTGTGAGGCAGCAGCATGTGTCAAAGATGGAGGACAGGTCTCAAGCTGTGTTTTGCACTTTTGATGTAATTTGGAGCCAGAGACTGTGCAGTAGTGTTTATGGGATGGAGCCACAGTAGCGATCGAATAATTAAAACCAAACCTATCAGACACATGAACACTGAAGAATAAACCAAAGGGACCGAAACCATCTTTAGAAAAAAAGTTATTTGACTTTTTGGTTTTGTTGCTGTCCCAAGTGCTAACACGGAGGAGGCTCGGTTTCTGACCTATCCTGCAGCCAGCCACCAGTGGGCGATCCACATGATTTGGCTTCACTTTTGTCACCCATCGTTATTGACAGTTTGAAGCATCTTGTTGCTTTAATGAGCATCAAGTCTGCGCTCAGCTGCTGATCAACGTTCCACCACAAGATGGAGCCAATGAGCTGTCAGAGGACTCTGCACTGTGTCTTTGATAATTCATGATAATAGTGAAATAGAACCCGTGTAGTTAGAAAAAAAGAGTGCACGAGAATTTCAAAGTGATTTAAAAGATGTCAGATTCCCTTTCCAACATTTTTCAGGAAGACAATGCGCAGAGCAAATGTTACACTTAAAGTGGCGCGTAGTAAATAAGAGCACTGAAGGCAGCGGGCAGGGAGTGATTCCAGACGGCAGAGTTCTCCCCTGCTGTGTTTCCTCAGCCGCTGTATTCGTGTGTGTAATGAAAAGTCAGACGGCTCCCCTGCGTGTCGTGTGACATGTTTATGAGCGGCCACGCTCACCTGATGACTGTCGGAGTGATTTCAGCACAAAAGAAAATGCTGAGAGTGCTGACGGCGTGCGAGGAGAACATCCCGATGATGGAGAACGCCACCGAGAATTTCCTGTTCAGGGTGTCTCTCAGAACTGTCAAGAAGAAGAGGGCGACGAGGAGGTGAGCACACGGACGACACACAATTTACAGCGATTCAACTAATGTGAAGTGACCTTGAAATTGAATTTGCTGTTTGAATGAATCGTGTCACGTCAAACATCGTCATCCTGTGTTTGTACCTGTGTCGTGGCGGAGGCTGTACTTCCCGATTACTGGATCCAATCAGTGAGCGTGGGGAGAGAAGAGAGGAGAACATGTCATTAGTCAGCACAAAGGACGGAACAGTGCTGACTCAAAACAAGCAGAATTAAAAAAAGCCTTTAGGACCAGAGTGAACTGCTGAGGCCTGAAATAATGATGCAGAATTAGGTCAAACCGGGAGGAATCAGCAGAGGCTCCCATCAGACTGAGAGTTAAACTGCAGGATGCACTGATTTAATGACATATGCGTCATGCGTAGTTTAAAACAAATCTCCAGATCCTGTGATTAAGATTATAAACACCGTCGTAAGTTTATACAGATCAAAAAAATGTATAATCACATGACGGGAATGATCATGAAGTTTGAAAATAACGTCATATTATGTGATACTAAATTAACAGAGACACCATCTACATTTTATTTTTATTTCTGTACTTCACCGTGTGATTACTGTGGATTGTTTTGATGCAGTTCAGTGAGAACTCACAGTTGAGTAACCCGAGCTGTAGCAGTGATGCCAGGGCTGTTATGATCATGAAGGTGAGAAGCCCTCCGCGACGTCCCATCAACCCCACAGCGGGGCAGACCGCCAGGCAGGTTGCCACCGCGATGCCAGCCATGGTGTAGTAGTCTGCGTGGCACAAAGCAGTCGGCTGCGCCTCCGGGTCCATCATGCTGCGGGCGAAGCAGTGGTGGATCCCGTAACCTGTCAAGCTGCACAGAAAACACACAGAGTAACAACGTGAAATCAGACAGGAAGGTGGGAGCGTGAGACACGCGTCTGCCACGGGGCGAGTCACGCTTACACTCACGTCTTCATTTCTCTCTGGAGGACGAGCTCATGCGTAATTCATGCTCACAACACAACGGACGTTGGCTTTGATTAGCAAAGGAACTGTACGAGCTCAGCCACAAACGCAACACACTTACGAGTTGACACACAGCACCACAATGTTTTTCCACAGGTTCCTGGTGCTCATCATCTTGACGATGCAGGTCCTCTGGGGTTTCTTGTGCAGCTCCTGCTCCAGCTCTGGTAGGAAAAATGAAACGCACACCTTGAGACCTTTTCTTTCTGGAGGTAATTGGAGACCGGCCGCTAAGGGACCTTTGGCACGGACAAGCTAATGTGCTGTGGGGCCTGAAGATGGATATGGGACCTCCACGCTCATCATCTATCTGTCTGCTCGGCCACTGAGAGAGGCAGGAACAATGAGTCAGACACAGAGGCAGGGGAGGAAGATGTGTCGGTGGCAGACAGAGGACAGATGTACTGTTTCTAAGAGCACAACGGCTCGGAAACTGTTTTCATTCTAAATTAAGGGATTTTTTCCATTTGTAAAAGTTTCTATATTGCTAAGTTGAACTATGGTTATTTCTCATTAGCTCATAGGGTTTTACAATTAAACACTGATTCCTTTAAGTGACATATTAATTGCTAGAAAAAAGAGACGTCCCACTTTATAACAGATGCATGTGAATATACAAAATGTTAAGCTGCAGGGAAAGATCTTTGGGTCTGGAAACATTTCAACGATCCCCTTTATGCAGGTGACTTTGTGTGGAGGGGAAAAAGAGGCGGACCATATTGAGAGAATATTTAATTTGTTTGTACTGAGATGCAAACAGCTGTTCAGAGAGATCAGCAAGATGCCCTCTGGACCTCAAACACCTACAAAAGGTATCACTGTGTTTCATGTGGTGAAACATTTGACTCGTACGACGAACAGAGGACGGAGTCTTGGCCCTAACCACTGTCTTCATCGGAAGCCACAAAATAGTGGAGGCTAATTCTGCATCCAACAGTTGGGTTCTGAGATTAAACTTTATTGATCTTCCAGTGGAACAAATGCTTTTGAACTTTCATGTTCAAAGGAGACATGTTTCTTGTTGCAGTTGAATTTCATCATATGAAAATGCTCGGAACTGCATGAACATGTGTGCACACGTGAAGGGGGGGGGGGCGCCTTGTATGTGAGTCAGTGTCTTTGTGTGTTCATTGCATGTTCATGTCATCACACGCCGACAAGCGGCTCTAAGAAAACACGCAGGAAGAATTAAAATAATTGGCGAAATGAGGCGAGTAGAGCAGCGGGAAGTTTAAAGCCCAGACCGAGACGGATTGTTGGATTGTTTGTCGACTTGTTTGTTGTCCCTCCTGAAATCGTTCCTCACCTGTGAGAACCCCGCTGGGCTCGGTTGTCATGTCAACCTGGTTCTTCCTGGCGATGTGAAGCATCATGGCTTTGGACCTCCTGTAGTGCTGGGTGGCCAGCAACCAGCGCAATGACTCTGGAAAAATCCTGCGGCGAGGGAAAGATTGATGAGAACAGAATGTGTTGTAAAAACAAGGGACAGAGAGCGAGGGGAAGAAAAACAAGAGGAGAAAGAGAGTATTGTTTGTTAGTCAAAGCAGAGTGCGCTCAGTGTTGTGTAGTGCAGTGTGTACTGTACAAGCTGTCGCCTGGTTCAACGTTACAAGAATCTGCCTCCCCCCATTTCCCAGCCGCCCCGGCGTGGCTTCCCTCGGAGGGCGGGACTCACCAGACGTAGGGCAGCATCAGAACGAAAGGGCTGATGATGACTATCTGCAGCACCTGCCAGTCATCCCGACCCGGCCAACTGCGGCACAGAGCGGCCACCCCTGGCATCAGTAGCTGCCCGCCCACCATCAGAAAACTGGCCACCATCGTCATGGAGAACCGCCAACCTGGCAAACAGAGCTCGATCCCTAAAGTGAGAGAAGAGACAGAGGAAGATTTAGTTTCACCGAAAATACAGACTGTTGCAGTGTTGGTGAACCAGAGGAGACTCGTTTAAATTATTTATGAGCTGTACGTGTGTGGACGTTTCCGTGGATGTGATTACCATCATAAACTAAGCTGCAGCCTAAACGGCCTGGCAGAGTGTGATGTGTGTGTTTGTTTAATGGTGGAGCCAGTATTGAGTTCCCTCTCTGAATTATTGAGGACTGGTTTTACTGATCCGTCCCTTGAGAACAAGCACTTTAACACCAGACCTCTTTATAAACTCAGGATGGAGTCAGAGCTTTTCAGAGGCTTCAGCTGCTCGATGAGCGTCAGTGCTGTAACTGTCCCTTAATTTCCCCTCCCCCCTCGGCTCCCATTTCCTCCCCTATACTGCCTGTAACATGGTACAATCCAGATGGCTCGGTCCATATGGCAAGGTCTTTTTGAAGGTGACCATTGTTGGTGGGTGAGGACGAAGGTGGGGGGGCTGGCTAACCTGGCATCATGTACTGTCACTTCTTATTGTAGAGACGAGGAGGACGACGGGGAGGGAATGGGGGAGTAGGAGGGAGAGAATAAAGTAGGAGGAGAAGAGGTAGAATACAAATGACCCCCCCCCCCCCCCCCCCCCCCATTCATCGGTGGAATCGCAGCAGGAATGATAATAAAGCCGAAAGAGGGAGAGAGAGACGCACACGGAGAAAGGTGGAGGGACGGAGAGAATAACAAAGAGATGTGGAGATGGGAAAATAATTCAGTTAGAAGCAGTGGAGCTGATGAAAAAAGAATTACAAGTATTACAATAAATCCTTTTAATAAAAACATCTTTCCTTCTGCCGAAGACTTTTAGATTTTAGATTTAATGTCTCTAAAAACTTTCCCCACAGGAACAAAACAGGAAATTCCACTGACCCCTGTCAAAGGTGACGGGGCCCCAACTCTTACCGAATGGCCTTTACTTGATCGTTTCAGCCATTATTATGTTTCTTTAATCCTTTGTCTTTGCTAGTATTTGTCTTATTTTATATAATATCATCATTGAGTTTAAATTCTATTGTATTATTTTGCTTGTGGCCTTCGATGCCTTGTTTTCATTTAAAGAAGCTCTTTGTAATGGTTGTTTTGAAAAGTGCTATTTGAATGAAGTTAACTATTTGGCAGATCTCTAGCTCAACAGCAGCAGAGAACTACTTTCAGCAAACTGGCTGTAATAAACCCCGTCAGGCACCAAACAGCAGATCAGGGACCAGCGCAGGAAGAAAGTTGCTGCAGACTCCGATGTTTGTCTCAGGAGCTCAAAGGTAAGTGACTTCAATTCTTCAGGTGGACACAAACATGACTCCGAATCAATACTAATGTTATTCCATGTCTGTTTTGTTAGTGTGAATAAGTAACTGCGTGGGACAACTTAACAAGGTTTCTATACTGAAGGCCAATGTTGTGTTCTCTCCTTGTTTCACTGCCCCCAAGTGGCCAGAAAAATCAATGAATGCAGCTTTTATCAGAACTATATTCTCACAAATCTTCTGTTTTTAAATGCTGAAGCAAGTGGTAGTATTTTTCATTCAAAGTAATTATCTAACGATTCTTCATATTTTACTAGGTGATGAATATTTGTCTAACTATTCATTTAATGGAGTAAAAATCTCCAATATTTCCTTCTGACATAAAATCTAATGAAGAACATCAGAAAGTAGTTGTGGTAAAAAGTAGTGTAATGATATTGTAATAGTGATGAATTGTACTTCAGTGTCATTTCAGGACTGTGTGCATGGGGGGCCGTTGTTAGGTTCTTTCCATCTCGTCTGTGAGCCGACAAACAACTCAGCGCCGTGTCTCTGTGGTGCTCGTGTCCACAGCGGTCGATGAGAATGGATCAGACAGAGCCACACACACACAAACTGGAGAAATTAACTGTACCTTTGCAAAGGAAAAACCAAGACAACCAAAAAACACTCCCCAACTCTCCGAGGGAGTTAAGTGTCTGATCCCGCTGATTCTGCTGGGACACACACACACACACACACACACACACACACACAAACACACACACTGGTAAAGAGCTTTTGTTCCAGCTGAGCAGAGAATGATTCTCCTTGTGCTGATTATCTCACTGTTCCCCCTGTGGGCTGATCCTCCCTCACCACCACCACCACCACCCCCGCCTTGGCCACTCTTCCCTCTCGCTCATCTGGGCTGAAGTGGCTCTCTCACCCTCTTCGAAGCCCCCATCCCCCACCTCCACTCCTCACCCCCTCCCTCTCACTCCTCTCCAAAGCAGCTTCTCCTCCGTCTTTTACATCTGCAAGGGAAGAGTTGCAGCAGCTTTGCAAAACAAAAACTATAATGGAATAAAAGGAGCGTAAAGACAAAGGGGAGGCAACAAAAAGCCGCTGACCAAATGGTCAAAGGATCTCCAGTGATAAATGGCTGACAGCAACACACACACACTTTCAGTTGTCTGCTGCTCCCGTGCTCACCTTGCCTGCGGCATGACAACAGTGGGGAGAGAGAATTGGTGACATGAAGAGAATGGCACTTTAGTTCCAGGTTTGAAGAGAGGGAGAAATGTAGTATTGACTTTATTGGTCAATTAATTACATCAACCGACAAACAGATAATGACAACAAAGCCACTAAAGCTGCTTTCAGTCGTAAACCGAAGTCCACACATGTTCCTGAAATTTTCTCGATGGGGCTGATGTGAGAAGGCAAATGTCAGAGTCTGTTGCTACGAAGGTTTTTTTCAGAACGTTTCCTACCAGCCCCCTGGTACAATGTCTGAGCGAGGCCATGTGAGAATACAGCAGGGCCCGAAGCCACTGTCGATGTGCTGTAAACAAAATCACGTGATTTCTGCAGCAGAATTTCGACATCGTGTCTCCACCCCTCACCTTAACATCCACACAGACACATTTCTGTTGTCATGAGTCTGACCCGGGCAATCTCCTGCTGCCTCTTTGTTTAGAAATGAAAATGAGATTTTGTTGCAGCCTTTGGTGAATGACTTCATAGGAAGGGAAGGATTGGAAACAGATAAAAGCCTCCACAAGGGCACAGCGCGACAGTTTCCCCCGCTGAGTCAGCAGTAGTTGTTCCCACAGCTCACCACACACACACACACACACACACACACACACACACACACACACACACACACACACACTGGTGTATCGCCTGTCTCTGTCATAACCTAAAAATCTCAGAGGAGCAGAGAGGACAGGAAGAAGCAATGATATTGACCTCTTGTTCTCACAAGTGTAAAAGTAAGCTCTCCCTTGTGCCTTCATGCAAACTGAGCTAATTCACTGAACAATTTATCCTTCAAATTCTAAATGTTCTCCCTCTGCAGGGTTGAAAAGTGGCGCAGCTGCTGTTCGTCAGCTCCAATTCACAGCTTGTACAAATGTTTCGGACTGCTGACCAAGAAATATATATATATAAATATATATTTATATTTCCAACAGTGATAGTGAATCTCACAGTGGGTGAGCTCTTCACCAAGTATTAAATGTAAGTATGTATCTCAAGCAATATTTTCATGAATACAATATATTCAATATTTTCCAGAAGAGCTTGGACATCCATGATGTCAAGATGGGATTAAAAACTGTCTTCTGCGCTAAAATGGAAAACGGATGAACAGGAGGAAAAGTCCATTCCAACAATTCCCAGGGGACGCCTCAGAGGTAGGTGCCAAATTACAAACAAATAAACCCATGAAGAACTGGTGCACCTACCCAAATACACACACACACACACTTTAACACATTAACACATTAACAGAGCAAACTGAAGCTGGAGTGGAGTTTATTATGGGCTGCGTGTTGCAGCGAGATAACCAGCAGATGAGAGATTTTAAATGAGCAAGTGAGGATGTGATTGCTGGTGGTGTTACAATGGTACAGAGAGAGAGAAAGAGGGAGGGAGGGAGGGAGGGAGAGAGGGAGCAGGATTGGATGAATGGAGGAGAGGAGAGGAGAGAAAATGAAAATGGTCAGAGAGCTGCTGGATTTAAAAATAGAAATTCAGCTCTGCGTTTGCAGTGACAGAGGCTGAAATGAGGGGAACAGGCAGAGAGAGGATTTCTGGAGGGAGATGGAGGAAAAAATACAGATGGAACAGTGCAACCACAGCAAATACACATGCACACGTACCGTACAACCATCCATCATGAACAATATGTGCACGCTACACGTTTTCTTCCTGCTGCAGCCATTGAGCACACGGCTGTTTGACAAACTCCGCAGTAATGTGCCTCCGTTGTTTTTACACATTACAGTGCAGTGAAATGTTTTCTATTATTGGCTCTGTGCCTCCACCTGTTTAATTTCAGATGAAACTGTGACTCTGGTGTTAAATTGCTGCTTTTCAGCTGTAAATTAAAATATAATAGGTTTAAACCTCTGGTCTCTTTTACACTCAGTTCCAGCACGAGGCTGCACGGCAACAAGAGTCGAATCAACCAATGACCTGACGATAATTTGTTTTGCCGGCTGAACAGCAACCTGAACGAAGTGAATCCGGCTAAAGTACAGGCCTGGAAAACAAATGTTTAATCTCAAAGAATTTGAAACCAGATACGGGAATATTCCAGTTTCAATATCAGAATATTGGTGTGCATGTAAACACGTCTGCTGTGCTAACCCCCCTAGAGTGGATGTGAACTTAAAAACTGAAGGTCAGCACTTCAACCGCATCATTATTCTTTGATTTCAGATCCAAAGCACTGGAGCACTGCGCCAACACAACAAAACAAAGCGTCACTGCCAAAATACTGAGCGTCCGTGCTGTCTCTGTCCTGCAGCATGGAGACCAGACACTGTTGTACCTCTCTTGGCAAAACACGTATTGAAAAAATTCACACCCAGTGTCTGCTCTCCATCTGTTATAGTGGAATATTGAAGTCTCATTGCTCCGCAGCTCAAGTGTCAGTTCATGATGTATTCAGACTTCCAGGATGTTTATTGGAAGCTTCCAATATCCTCATGATATTTTACTGTTAATGGGACGACGGCGTCTGTTCTCCGCTGTCGGTCATAGTGTGAGTCGTTCTGCAGCAGCACCGTTCCTCCCACTGAACTGCATCGACACCTCACACAACCGACTCACACCTCATGCAGACACCTACTGTTCTCTCACACAAACAGCAGATACACAAACACACAGTTACTCATCCCATCATTGTCAGCACTGACAAAAGAAATATATATGGCTCCCATTAGAAGTATTTGTTTTGGGCAAATTGGCCGTAATAACAGAGGAACATGATCAAAGTGAGAGAGTGTGTGACAACGATGAGAGAACAGACCCAGATGGAGAGGAGGAAATATAATCATGTGAGGAACGTAAAAAGATAACAACAAAAAAAAAACAGGTTTCAGGCAAAATTGGAGAAAACAAAACCTGATAAATCTCAACTGAGATTTTTAAATTACTAAGCAAATCAGATTGTTTTACACGTTATGCTGTATCGGACATGATGAAACAGACAAGGACTAAAATATTCTCACTATTCTAGAATCTAAACCTTCAGCATATAAACATAACTGTGGAATCTTAGCTGTGTTAAGAACTTCTCATTGTCTCCTGCAGCTATCTTTGTTTCTGTGATGGTAACCGACGTCAGTAAGACATTTTGCGATTAGCTGTAACGTTTTATTCTTTGTAACGACGCCGGTGATCAATGAAATTCATTCTCATCTTATTGTCTTCGTCGTCCTTAAAACAAGACTTTGAGAATGTTCCTCAAACATCACAGATTAAAGTCAGCTCTCACGAGTGTCCTGGCAGACGGCTCGGAGGCATGGGCTTACATTTAGTTAGTTTTTAGAAGCGGTTCGATAGAGACTTATCTGGGACCCCCCGCTGAGAGAGGACAAAACCCGCCCCATCACCAGAGCTCAGAGTCGGCCCCGGCTTCCAGCAAAATGTATGACTAATCCCTGACTGGCATAAAAGAGAGAAGAGGCCTGGACAGGGTGAGGAGGAGGGGGGGTCGAGCAGGGGAAGGAATGCTTGTGGGGGGTGACACCAATTTACAAACCTTAAGATTGAGAGCTTTAGTTTTTCTCTGTAATCACAGTATCCACTGACTAAAGTCCAAATATCACAGCCAGGATATTTAATGAGTTAAACAAACATTAGCTCAGTATTCACAACTACAACTTATTTTAACTATTTTATTGTTGATCTGTTTTTCAGAATACCTTAATATGAGAACAGCTTTATTGGCATTTGGTAGTTTTAAATACTCTATATGTGACCATATATATAAATTGGGTTTTGTCCCATTTCCCCACATCTGGAATATCTTCCTCTCCATCCCGCTGATTACATTTAATAAACACAAAAGAGAAAAAGTCAAGGGAAATACAGGAGCGCAGAAGCAGAAAGAGAAAAGCTGACGAGGAGGTGACATCGTGTACTTACTGAGCACGTAGAGGGAGAGAGCGAGGCCCGCCAAGCAGAAACCCTCAAAGAAGCGCAAGGTGCTGAACATGGTGACGTTCACAGAGAAGGCAACACTCAGACCAAACACCAGCATGAAAAGCACCGAGAGGATCAACACCGGGTGTCGACCAAACCTTAGAGACAGAGGCACAGATGGAGAGAGAGAAAGAAAGACGTAGAGAAGTGTTTAGAAACTGTCACAGACTGAAAGAAGAAGCTTTTGATGTGCAGTCGAGTGAAAGGGATCATTCCTCTCATTGTTTGCTTCAGACTGTGCCCACTTCCTGGTTTATGGGGGGGGGGGTCAGTAGACCAGTGGGTCAGGTCAGAGCTGAGGCGTCACTGCCCTGCACATTTCTTTACATAGTTTCCATGGTTACTTATCTCAAACACAATGTGGGGACTATTTTTCCCACGATGCAGCTCAGGTGGCTCACACGCTCCACAATGAATTCAAGGAACAGCAGCGAGGGTTAAAGAGTCAATTCACCAAAAGACAAAAGATAATTTATCACTTTGCCCTGCAGATAGTTTCAGTCTTAATTCACTTTAAACTGAGATTTTTGACGGATGAATGATATTTTTCTTTAGTTTAAATAATTTGTCTTTTAGAAAACAGTCCTCTGTTTACTTTTGAAAACCCACAGGCTGAAAAAATACTGAATAAACTGTCTGTAATAAAACCAAAGACAGTAACAGTGGATTAAATACTTATGTCAGATATTCATAGGGTGAATCCTAACGGCTCCTCTGTCCATATCCTGACATTTAAACTGTTCAGAGCTTCGACATCTTATGAAATACTTCTGATATTTGAGTAATAACTTTATCGTTTGCTCTTTCTTTTCTCTTCCAGATGTGATTGAGTGTCCTGTATGTTTTCAGCCTGTCGGATCTTCTGACTGCTTGTGTTTCTCTGCAAGATCTCTGCAACGGATTCAGTGAGTACATGACGCTGGAATAACAAATAGTAAAAATGTTGGATTCGTAGGCTGCAATTCGTATAAATCCGCATAACTTTGCCTCAAACTTGTCTTTTAAAACAGATCATTTTGACCAAAAGTTAAGAAAAGAATTATCTTCCATTCAGAGTGGAGGGTTTTTAATTTCTTCATGCTCGTCTTTGCCAAAAGATAATGGGAAAATGTCCCGACTCTGCCAGACTGAAGATGAAATATTAGTTTCATTATACTCTGCGTGGTTTGTCTGTTTCTGGTTCAGTGTACGCGTTAAACTAAGCTGTGTATTTCCATTGCAAGTTTAAAAGGTCTTTAAAGTTTTAAAGTTAAGTAGTTTATAGCTGTAAACACCCTGATTAAATAGGACGGCACTTTACTTAATGTCTATGGTTATACTGTGGTTCATTTACTAGCTTTTTGTATTTGTATTTGTAAAAGTAGCTTCGGGCTTTCATTCTTTGATTCTCATCCATTCCGGTAATACACTGGCCCCTGTTTGTTTCAAGTATGAGTTGGAAAGTTGGACAGTTCTTCCATGTTGCCCCTTTAAAGATGAGACATTAAAACACTTAAGAGAGACACCAAACAGAAACGAAGGAGGCAGCGTACCAGTCAGCCATGACACCCATCACTAGATAGCCAAATATGGAGCCCACCAGCAGAGAGAACTTGGCGATGTGCACCTTCCAGGCCGAGTCACAAACCAGGTTCCACTGAAACAGAGAAAAAGACAGAAGAACATCAGTCAACTTTACAACTTAACAAAGAGAAATAACAGCAACATTAGAAGGGAAGTGAAAAATGAAGCCGTCGGATTTTTATCTGAAATCTTGTCATCTGTCCAACTCGTTCAGCTCTGTGACTCACTGTGTTTATAATTCATGAAGGCTGAAGAGTGCAAACACGCTGCTGACACTTTTGAAATATTCAAATGTCCATGTTGAAACACACGCATGTGCATGTGTCAGAGAGAGAGTGAGAGAGCCTGCACGTGTGTGTGCCTACAATATGAGAAATCGATAGTTTTCCACTTTTTCAGTGAAGGTCATGGGTCAGCACGCACGCACACACACACACACAAACACGCACACACACACACAGCTGCAGCTCTCAGCATCTGAAGCCAAGGACGCGTGGAAGCACAATTTGTACAATGTTTGTTTGTGAACCTGAAGTAAGCAGAGCGACTCAGCCGAGCGTGAAAATAGCGTTGGTGTTTTAAAATGATTTACAGAGCTCCCCGCTGAGAGAGGGGGGGGCTATTAGCACCAGTGTTAACTTAACGAACATGACACAAGTACAGAGCTGGGGGAACATTTTAAATCATTTTGTAATCCTATCATGATACTGTGTTCGTGCCATGTTATTGTCTTTGCTCTCATTAGATTCTTTGCGAATTCCAATTGAAGACGAGCAGAAAATAAACGTGTTTTTCTGCATCTTCACTGCTGGACCCTGAGTTTAATGAACAGTTCACATCGATGGACGATCTGATTCTGCTGTGATCCAGAGGTGGATTTGTAGCTGCACCACTGGATGTAGGTCAATGTGACAAACTCACAATGTCTTCATCAAAGTTTTTGTCATTTACCTTCCTTCAGTCAGCCACTGAGTCAGATTTCAGCATCACCGCGTTTAATTTCACGTTAAAATCAGATGTTTCGACGCGAGTCGCCCGTCGGCAGACGTGAGACATCAGCATCAACCTCAGGAGGGAGAGGGGTCTTTGATCCCCTTTGATATTGAGTGATTTCTGCATCACATGTGGTGATGTATAAATAAATAAGTAGACTTATATGTATAATATATATTAATATCATGGTAGTGTTGTATCTACCAGTCCTGACACACACTGTAACTACAGTATTGTATAACTCCAGTTATCAGCCGCTGCCTTCTCTGAGCTCCACACACACACACACACACACACACACACACACACACTTGTCTCTCTACAGTTGTACAAATACACACTTCTACTTCTATCCTGTTCACATACTGTGTTCACTATAACATTATTAATTATTCTTACTCTACAACCCTAAAACAAATCTTAATCTTCAATCTGCCCTTCGAAGGTATAAGAGTCCTGGACAAAATGTCCTCATTGTGTGAGATCTAAGAGTCAAAGGGGTCCTCACAAAGACAGGAGTGTACACACACACACACACACACAGCTTCATATTGAGGTCAGTGGGTGACTTGTTCGTCAGCTGTGTCGGTGCTGGGGTCAATCTGATGAAGATGATGAAGATGATAAATCAATCTGCTGCTCTCTCGTTACCTTGGTGACCACATTCTGACTGAGTCCCGTCTCCAGCTCCAGCCTCCACTCCTTACAGGCGCACATATCGTCCCCCTGTCCCTCCCCATAGCCGTCCCCGGTGCCGTTGCCTCTGGGCAGCAGCGCCGGTGCTCCCCCGGTGACCGGCGGGGACGCTACGGTCCAGTTGCTCTCGTTGGCGAGGGGCTGCAAACACGTGCCATTGGGTTGCGCCAGAAGGAAATAATCCGAAAACTGGCTAAAGCCGATGAACAATGCCGGTATCCAGGTCAGGACCACGAGCTGCTTCTGGTGCTTCCCAAAGCCCCCCAGAGACGGCAGGACCGAGCCGTCGATGTGCGGCAGCAGCCGGGGCACCGGGTGCTCCAGCGGAGTGAAGCCGTTCTCAGGCGGGTGGTCCTGCGCCTCGGGGCGGCCGGGTGCCATCACGGCCCGGCCACAAAGACAGCAGCTGCGCGCAACAGCGGGTGATGCGGAGCCCCCGCTCTGCTATCGTGCGCACTGTGCGTTAAGCCCTGTGACACAAAGAAAAACCCCTCAGCGCAGATAAATCCTCTGCAACACAAGCCCGAGCCAAAAAAAACAAAACACAGGGTGTCCGGTCCGATCACGCGCGCACAGGCACCGGATTACCGAGCAGTCGCCCTCATGGCGAGGGGGGCTCGAAGCGACCAGGGGATGTCCGAGTGGAGGAGAGAAGGCTCCCGGAGAGGAGAGGAGGCATGCTCGTGTGCACGGGCTTCATATTCCATAAGCACAGCTCCTGCAGCGGGATCCATCCATGTGGGGCTGAAGCGGTTCCAGGCCTGCTGGGTGTGTGGAGGTGGGCTGCGGCGCTACATCCAGAGGGGGATCCACCAAACATCTGCTGGACCTTCATCCACGCGCGCCACAGGTCTCATACCTGTCCGGACCGTGACCTCCTGCAGGTGCGCATCGCTCAGCTCCTCGGGTCCATGACAGCCGAGCTCCCGGTCATCACCTGGTCCGTGGAGTGGTCGTGGTGGGGGGACACGCTGCTCGGTTGGTCGCCGTCTCGTCAATGGGACACGGTGCCAGATCTGGAGGAGGGGAGGAGGTGGGAGGGGGGGGGGGGGGGGGGGGGGGGGGGGGGGGGGGGTGCAGACCCCGCCCTCCGTCGGTCGCGCTATGCGCTGCGATTGGAGAAGCTTCAGGGGACGAGCTGCACCACTGACGAGCATCTGCAGGAAACAAGCGGCTCCTTTGTGCAGCTTCCACCTTCTCCTCCGCTCAGACAGCTCGTTAGAACCATGTCCCGCTCTCCATCCTCAGCACGAGAGCCACAGCTCGAGTCATCGCAGGTGCTTTGTGTCTGTGTGTTTGCTGAACGTCCCACTGAGGCGGTTTTGCGTCATGGGATTTTTTTTTTTTACGAACGTCACATAAACAGGCAGAGACAATAGCAGCGTGTCAGGGATGATGTGCTGCCTGTCAGCCGCGAGGGGGCGTCACACCATCACAGTACACGACCTTGTCATCGATTTGATTATCATTATTATTATTATTATTA